GATAATTGAAAACTATGTGTGTATCCTTTGCTATAATTTATTTGGGGCTTTGATTTTTTTAATAATGCTTTCTAATGTAACCTTTTCTTAGGGCTTGGTTCACAACAAGATTTTTGGTGAGCAGTTACTAAGAGCCCCACCTTAGCGTTGTAGGTGTTGTACTGAAATCTGTATAGGGTCAAGATGCTGAAGATGGGATCTGAAAAGCTGAGTCTTTTCACTCAAGTTTTGGAATCATCCAGAAGGAATTACCATCTCCTAGTGGCACTTCTAGTTGCAGAAAAGCCTGTCTCACCCCATTCTCAGGCTACAGTCTTCCTGACACGATTGTCTGAGGGTAATTGTCACTTTCTAGGATTCAGAGCCATGAACCTTCTTCTGATGGTAAGAATGTCTCCAAGTCTTCCCTTGAAGGGAGGTTTCTGGTGCTCTGTGGCTTATGGCATCACCTGAACATCACCATAGAGTCTCTCCTTTCCCTGTGGGGCTGTGACCTGACATCATGGAGAAGGAGGAGAGTAGCTTCTCCCAACAAAGGGCACTAGTGTACACTGCAGGAATAAGCCAAGTGCTGAACTGCTATTATGTGCTCAAACTCTTTATGACCTAGAGCAAATAATTAATTAGTAATTCCATGGGAGGTAGAGAAACTTTCTTTGTGGTGATGAGGATTTTGGGGGTCTAAATATTAGTCTTGTGCATTGCTGGTCTTTTGTGGACCCACCCCTAAATTTAGATGAGAAGGCCTATTTCCTTCCTGGGTGTGATTTTATTGCCTTCAGTAACAGTGGGTTGGGGACAATTTGAGCTTTTCTAGTAAAAAAAAAAAAGAACAGTTACTGGGAAGATAAGCCCTGATTGTAGGTCTCTGAAACCAAAAGAAAGCTTAAGAATATGAGTCTTGATTGAGTGAAATAGCAGGATCAAAGCATTAGTACTAACATTCCACCATACTCAAACTCATACCAAAAGAATCCTTTTATTCAAAAGACTTTTAGCTTGATTATTTTCTTTTATGTAATAGCCTCTTAGGCAGCAATTTTGTGCATATGCACACGTGCATATGTGTGCACGTGTGTGTGGCGGGTTGTTGTTTTCTAGTCTGAAACTGACAGTGCTCTTTGACTGCGAGTAATAATTTTTGTGATTTCAGGTTCCTGCCACTGTGGAAAGTGCATCTGTTCTCCCCAGGAATGGTACATTTCAGGCGATTTCTGTGAATGCGATGACAGAGACTGTGACAAACATGACGGTCTCATTTGCACAGGTGCAGTACAGGCTAACACTTAATTGCTTCAGGAAACAAACTGTGTTGATGGGAATTATGTTAGACAAAGCCTAGCTACTTCTTTCCCCACTGACAGAGGAAGTGCATTTGCTGGTTATTCAAATCTGCTATAATTGTTTCTTCATGCAGTGTGGTAATCAACTTAAGGTTTCAAAACAACAGTTGAAAGCCCGAGCATGAATTTAAATAAGTAAGTCAGCTATTACATCCGTCAACAATTCTCATTGTAATAGACTACAAGTTAATGCTTTTTTGGCAAAAGACATAGTGTCAGCATTAAGATCATGAGGTTTCCTTAGCATTTGTTCTTCTACTGGACATTCTATGAGTGTAAATTTAAGTCACAGACAAAATTCACTTGTCTGATGATCCTTGGTGGCTCAGAGGTGTAGTTGTGTGGGTTAACAGACCTTCCTGGCAATCAGGCAATCATTGGTGGGAGCCTGAAATGCACGATAGCTTTTCTTATGATGTGATGGCTGATGATTAAATTAATGATTATAGCAGCTTCATCTTAACATTGTCTGAAAGTTGAGGTGGCAGATGTGGATAGAAACGGGCAGGGTGCCAACAAGCCCTCACGATAAACATGGTGACAAGAAGCAGCATGGGAATTGCTAAATTAACTCATTGGCTTCTTCATGTTACAAATCTTAATTTTAGAAAAACTTTGCCAGCAATTATTAGATGTGGAAGAAATCTGCAAGTTGATTAGAGTGAGACTGGGAGGGCTGACACTAGTAAAATGTCTTCCAGCTGGATCTATTAACAAGCATCCTTTTCTGGAGGCAAGTAACCAGTATAGCGGTAGCAGAAGCCTTATCTTCAGCTGTAATGGCTGTTCATGGATCTTCATAAAGCTGGTAGAAAGAGGAGCTCACACTGGAAATCCATGCTATAGCTGTCTCAAGCTGAGCATTTGAGTCATAAAAAATATTTAAATAAAGTGAAAATAGAGGTGTCAGTATGTAATGTTTCCCTACTGTAAAATAGGGCCAATACATTTTTCACTTAATAGAGAGTTTGAGATATGATTTATTTGTATAGCACTCCTGAGAAGGTAGGTGTAAAGTTTTCCATGTTTAGAGTGATGGTTTTATTGCTATTCTGTTGGTAACTTTTAATGACTTTTTCTTTCTTTGTAGTAGTTAAAAGTAATCTTGTTTTACCTTGTACCTGGAGGCACAGTGTGAACACTGAACCTCACCAGCTGGGTACAGATACTGATGTATACAATTGCACTACACAATACACAATTACAATATTTGCAATATGGCTGATGGAATTATTGAGAGAATTCTATTAATGCTTTGAAAATGTAGGTTTAGGGTGGTTTCTTAATGCAATGGTACAATAATTGCTTCCTTCCAAAGGGGGGAAAAAAAAAAGGGGTAGGGGAACAATAAAGGAACAATGCAACTACTTTACCATGGCTTTTTACTTCCCATAAAACACATTTTAATGTAGTACATTTCAATTATGATAATTGCCTTTTATTCATTCTATTCTAGGCAACGGTGTTTGTAGCTGTGGAAACTGTGAGTGCTGGGAAGGATGGAATGGAAATGCTTGTGAAATCTGGCTGGGGAGAGAATACCCTTAATGCAGGGTGTCAAGGACTGAGGAGCTTTTTTTGTTTGTTTTTCTTTAGGCTGCTAGAACATTTAATTTCAGAAGTGCTCAGTGTGTGGGTGTGCATGTGAGCACACATACATGGTTTTAAGTACCTTAGAACGTGTTTGAGGACCTGCTTCTTAAAGAAATGCATCAAAAAAACTAAAAAAGGGAGCAGGACAACCCCAGCTCTAGAGGGTGAAGTCATAAAATACCGGCCCTATGGAACTCCTCCAGAGTTTTTTTTGTAAATTCAGTGGAACTGAGATTATATCTATAATGCTTGTTTCTTTAAGCAACCTTTGGAAAAAGTATAAGGAAACCTCTTTTAACATTGTTTACTTGGTCATCACCTCTCCTTATCAATCTTAACAATACCCCTGTAGAGGAGTAACACTAGCTGAATATTTGTCAAATAACTAGTTTGATTAATTTTGTGGTGTTGGAAAAATACATTATTTGACCTTTTTTTCTTTCTAACAATCCTAATTATGTACCAGCTCATAAATTGAAAGAAGTTGTAAAGAAGCCTATAAAAACATTGGTGATTTTTTGTTTGGTAAAATAATTGTCTGAGATCCAGTTACACGACACCCATAAACTGAAGACCCAAAATGTTTGAACAGACCCTTTTCCACAAAAAAACTTAGTTTCTGTGGTTAATGTGTCAGTAAGTTGGTTATCTAATCTACATACTACAATACTTTCAAGTACATAACCTATGGGAACATAAGGAAGGAAACTAATAAAGATATAAATGTATGATTACCTATTCTGAATATGTATTCTGCAACTCATATGTACTTCTATCATACTGTTCTGTGTAGGTACAGTTGCCTCTTAAAAGTAAAGTAAATGAAAATTTGTTATATTGAAAATGAAAATATGTCACTTTCAGGATGAAAATTTTGTCTACTATTCAAAATCACTGTTTAGAACACATTACACTGTCACACATGGTATTCATTGAATTTAACTGCTTTTATGGAAGTGGGAAACCTGAAGGTCAACTGGCTTGAAAAATCGTCTATGCTATGCAGCAGCTTGGTCTCAGCCAAAGACGTTTGGATAATGTCAACAAAGTAATTAAAGTTTTAATATAGTAAATACAAACAAAGTAGTGGTATGAACAAAAATTTTATTTTTATTTTCCAATGGTGAAATGCTGCTCAGTGTGAAATTCACATTGAGTAATGAATGATGCACAACTATTGGGACTTCCCTAACTTATTTACATATGAGTCTCTTAATTTTTTGTACACGTAGATTTGGCAGCCCTTGAATTCTTTAGAACAAAAAGAAGAAATATACATTTAATTTCAAAAGTGTTTACATTTTGTGAAGTCATGATTGAGTGAGAAAATTGATTAAATGGCTGTAAAATACTTTTAGATACCAAAATGCAACACTGGCATTTAGGTGCCAAGGTCCTAAGAAGAGGTACATGATTCAGAAATGATGGAACTATGTATCAACCAAAAAACTTATTTCCATTATTTATCTAGAAATTAGTTTTCTTTTAGAAAGGACAGTTTTGAAATAGGAAAATACAATGCTACAGACCATGTAACAGAATGCAAAATTTCAAATTTATTTAATTGTCTTATTATTGCCCATTCCCATGTAGTTTGTTCTCTCACCCAGTTTTTTTTAGTTAGCCTGTATTATTTCTTTCTAAAAATGAGGCCTGTGAAACCCATGTTCTCAGGGAGCATAATCACCAAACATCCAATTTATATATAAGTTCTGCAGATAAATAATGAGACATACATCCTAAAGCTGTTACCTGCTCTCTTGTTAGATAACCAAAATATCAGACAGAGTTCTAAAATATATCAATACAGTATAAAACATCTTCAAAATAAAATCGTCTTGAAATTTTAGTTTATATTTTGTACTTGTAACCCTTAAACTCCATGGAACTGAACAGAAATATTTTCTTAAGTTTTAGCATATATGCATTTTGCCAACCCTGGTGTCTGGAGAGCACAGATTGTTGCTTTTATTTATATTTACAAATACAGCTGACCTGAATCACCTTATAATCAGTGGGGTTTTTGCATGTACATTCATCTGCTGAATCAGAGTGGAAACAGTGAAGGATACAAAGTTTTCCTTTATTTTCTTCCATCTGTATTTAGTACAGTAATAAGAAAATATCAGATAATCAAAACTCTTATCTGGTGTCAGTAGATGCTTTTGGCTTGTTCATGCCATCATTAGTAGATTTATATATACTGTAGACCAGCTGTGGTATTTCAGGTACACATTCATATATAAAAGAACAATTCTTTAGCTGGTTGCAGTATTGTATTTGATGCATTTTACTTTTTAATTTGCTTTAATTTTAAATTTATATACTTAAAGAATGTAAGGTAATTCTTCTTTCTAGTTTGTTTGGGTTTTTTTGAAAAAAACAAATCAACTCCAACATTTGACTACTGGACGGATTACACAGCCACAGTATTTCTGTTATCCAAATTGTTTTTTATAGTACATATGAAAAAAAAAAAAGGATATCTACAACAGTTACTCTCTGTGTTTCATTAAAATGCAATTATCAAACAAAACGGTGCTATTACTGTAAACCATAAAGCATTAACTAAGACTATTAAAAACGCAATGTTCACATTAATTTTTTTCCAATTTTTATTTTGTGTCTTATAACGTTGCTTGAACATTTCCCCTCTTCATGTTGAGGTAACTGGTGGTGTAACACCCAGCAGATCTGTTTTGTGGCTGATTTTCTCACTAAAAACGAGATTGGAAGAAATAAGATTATTATTCCACGTATGTGAATATAACAGCTGTAATAGCAAATTGTAATTTTACACCTCATTCCGTATGATGGGAATTCTAGATACATAAAGTGTAAAAGCAGGAAGAGGCATAAGGAAGTGAAACTTACTGCTTAATTCTTTAGAGCTAGTGACTGTAAAAACTTTCTCCCAGACCTGTGACAAAAGGCAAAACCAAATTGGATAAATGGGGATTTTGTACTGATTAAATTAGTAAACCTTATGAAAAAAAATATTATGTCCTTGCTTTCTTATGAGAGAAAGAACATATTCCAGAAGTGTGCTGAATGCTTCTATAACAGACTTGCAGAATAATGCCTACTGTATATAACTTATCTGTAATATCAGCTATAAAACAGTTGTGGATTGATTTGCTTCTATAAATTATTAACCTGCTTGTGACCCTTTTTATCAGTGGCCACACTCTCTTTTAGAAACACGCAGATGAACATTTAATCATGTACCTGCTCTCACTTTTCTGATGCTTTGCCCATTGCTTCTTAGCAGAATGTCATCTCACTTTGTAGCTAAATGATACAGCTATGTGATACTGGGATGAAGAAAACTCAGTTGAATATTTCTGTGACTAGGTAACAGAACAAAAATTTTATTACATCTTTAAAAATAAGTCATAGCATTTGTATTAGTCATCACCAAAAAAATCCCTCTTATTAAATGTTTTAGAATGCATTGCACAGAATATGAATTTATCTAAAGGGTCATTTAAAAGAAAGAGAACCTTCTAATTTAGTCTAATTTTATTTGGATTCCCATTTGAATGGAGCTGAACAATTTCTTCTTTATACCAATAAACAGAAGGATCAGCAAGACATACTTTTACTGCATGGACCAAACTGCTTGATTTCATACCTCATTGCTTAAACTAGTATTAAATCAAGACAAAAAGTTTCCCTACATATATATATAAAGCTAGAGTTCTTAGTGTTGTGTCAGGTATATGCCATAGTCAAAGTGAATATCTTTATGGGGGTGAGACGGTGGGGAGAGAGGGAAGAGGTTTAGTAAGAATCAACATGACTATACCAGTTAAAGTTTATGAAAATGACAATATATTAAAAAATCATTTAAGAATGGCTAAAACCCCCAACAAGTTAAGCAAAGGCTGTGTTATGTGAACCGCAAACCACTTAAAAGGAGCTAGAGCCCCTTCTACAGGCTCTATCATGTGAGCAATCTCATAAGGATTCTTGTCTATTTATAAAATTTTTGAAGTACAACAAAATGATGCTTTGTTTAAATAGTTCATATCTACTTAAAACTGGATTTCTGAAACTGTGCAGGTGTGATTGATTTTGCCAAATAGAACTGTAGCTGAAATACAGATTTAAAAAAAAAGGGAAGAGATAATGACTATATGCAGTGTTAACATATAAAATGGTAAGATGAGGTTAGATTGCTGTGCAAACAGTCTCTCAGAGATTAGAGAAAACCCAGAAGAATAAAATACAAAGCAAGCATGCAAAAGATCTGGAAGGCTGCAGATTCACAGGCAACTGCACATGTAAGTACAAAACCCCCAGTCTATAAATACAAATTGATTCCATCAGGTTTACTATACAGTACTTTAGTAGTAACAGATAGTTGAAAACAGCTTTCACTTAAAAGCAAAATTAATTTTAGAGGGAAGAAAATGGTGAAGTCTTATTCTGGAGAACAGCAAGAGAGGTATTATATTAAGGAGCTAAAATTTTCTTTGGCATGGTAAAAGGGGAGAATTGAGTTTGCCAACCTATTTACATGAAGTTTCACCATCCTGTGGGCAGTGCAATGATGTTTTGCACAGTCTACTTTTTACATAAACTTTTTTGTTGGTTTCATATATGCCTTCATATAAGTGCTTTATTCATCATTTTGAATCTGTGTATACATCAAATAAGAATAAACAAACTGTACAATGCAAACTCTTTGCATATATGTTTGTAAATTTAGTAGTACTGACCAACAGTTCTTTGACAGATACAACCTACAACATGCAGTTCATCCTTGCCATCCTCTTTCCATGTAACAGATGAGACAAGACAAAATAAAAGGGAAGAAAGAAAGCACAAAGACAACTTTTTATGTTTAAACAAAATGTAATAATAAAAAAAAATTAGAACATCTATTCATTGGATTAAACATACATAAGAATTTAGCCCACAGCAACAAACCCAGAAAACAATAATTTAAAAAAATGCTGTATTTCCAGTATGCACTAACAACTTACAGAAATTAAATCTGGCCTTAATTATAGACTCCCAAAGTGGTTCACAGATCATAGTTACTCAGGATCAAAAGGTTAGTGTTGAAAACAATACTTATATAGGATCAGGCCATGAACCAGAACTTCCTCGCTTTGCTCAGACAGTTTTCCAGCCCTGTCTCTCCTCAGGTTCTTACACTGGGGAGTAAAAAGACAGCTGGATGAGACATGAACTCGTGTATTCACTGCTCATGAATCAGGTGAGAGAGAATGTAGCCTTCAGCTGTATTGTCTTACTTGAAATATTGTGAAGTGCTCCTCTTATAATTGTAGGAAGGCCCGGGGCCATCCCCAGGACCCAGCTGATAGTACAGCATCATGGCTGCTGCCTCTCATGAATCTTCCAGGTGCAGAGTAAACCCCCAGATCATCATGTGAGTTGCTTTGGTTTTGTTTTGTTTTCTCAGGGATGGTGCATAAATCCCACTGGACCAGATAGGATTAGAAGGGTACACCAAAGTTTTTAATAAAGTGGTGTTTTTCCCATGCACATATATTTAGTGCTAGCAGACAAGGGCACAGTCTAAGTCAAAGTTTCTTTGTATTTTTATCACAGTTTTAGATTAGGTTTGTTTTGTTTTTTCTCCCCTACATGGATAGAGGGCTTCGTGCTTAACTCATTCCCTCCCTAGAAAGACCCAACATCAATCACTAGCTTGCTGTTCTCATAGCACATATACAAAAGGAAGTCTGACCTACAGAAAAGAAAAGTTTATCTAGAATTTAGCAGCTTTACAGTAGCCTCCTTGAAGAGCACACTAAATGTTTCTTATAAAAACAGAACACATTTGAAAACTAGTATGAAGAGTTCATTCAGACTGAATCAGTTGTTCAGCTGAGCAGACAGGGACTTTGAAATAACCAGCAGCCTCTCTTAGGGACTTCAGCACAAAGACGTGGTAAAACAAATTGCCAGAAATACAGTGCTAAAAAAGGAATGGATGGTTTCCACCTTTTTTGTCTTTAAATATCAAGGTAACAGCAAGAGGCCACACAGTTTTCCAGACTGAGATACAGTTTGATCTTTGCTGCCATTTCTGAGAAATAAATTCCATCTTAAGCATACAGAGAGTGCCCATATTTTTAATCTCCTGAAAGCCGGTGACTAAGCATGCAAAAACTTCAGTGGCACCTCTGTGGCATTCTCTAATTCTTCCCCCCCCCAAGCCCACCTCACCCCACAACATTGGCTTAATTGTTCACAAGGGAGAAACTCAAAGGGTTAATGTTGTTTCTGGTAATATGATCCAAGGCTTCAATTTTATAATGTTTTTCATTTCTTCTAGATTGATGTAGGAGAAAGTACAGTATATAGAGATCAAGGCAAGGCACCTTCAATCTAGCAATTTGGTGGGCATGTTATCCTCAGAAGCTGGCTGGAGGTACATACCGGGATATCAGTGAAATACCTAGGACTGGACTTTGCATGCTTAGCTAAAAATAAAAATAAAGTTTTGTAATATGTCCAGTTTTAAATTTTTTTTTAAACACCAGAAATATTAAACTATAATTCGTAACTACCCTTTGCATTGGTGCTGCAAAAAAGAACACAACATCCTTGCCCATGCTTTGCTAAGTAGGTGTGGAATTCAGCCAAAAATAACAATGGCATTAAGTTCAGTTCCTTAAAAACAGGAAAGGATTATATTTGAAATGGATTTAGGTAGCACGATTCTGATTAGTCTTACTTATTTTTTTTTTTATTGGTTGTGGTTGTTTTTCAAACAATGAAGATTTAGTAGATGAAAAATGAGCCTTAATTCAGGCCTACAAGGCCTACAAAATTCTTTGGACCCACTTTCCCAAAAGTGAGTGGGTCTTGCTCGCTGGGCAAGGCAAATGTTACCATTACCAGTAAGCCTGTGATATGTATAAAACACACACACAAAAAGAAACTACACGGGGATGCCAAACACGTGTTTCATAAAACTCCCCGTTGGTTGTGTTTGACACTCTTCCCTCCACTATAACGCCAACCTCAGAAGCACAGTATCTTTTACTAAAGAGTATTCACATTTAATCAATATTGTAAGCCAGAGACAACGATCCTATTCTTTATAGATATAATTTGTAATAATAGATTTTTGAAGGCTTCCGATTCCCTGATTGCTTTCAAAACTAAGCCACCGGCAACACTTAAGTTATAGAGAAACACAATCCCTGCAAAAGTTCACAAAGAGTGGAGCGAGCAGCCTTATAAAAAAGGGAAGAAGAGAAATTCATAATAGCACAGGTTTACAGCATCTAACTAGAAATTACTTGATTATTCGTGTGCTACAAAATAGAACTTAAACACATGGATTTTGCTGAAAGTGGACTCAAAAAAGGATTATGGGCAATTGTCAGCAGGCAAGGTATCAAGTGTACTTGTGAAGTATGTGATTCACATGAAGTGTCACAGTCACAGAAAAGATATTAAAAAGGCATTCCAATATCTGGTAGGGCATTCCATGGTCTGAGTTTAGCTGGTTTGTCCAGGTGTCTTCTTTTTTTGGGTAGAGCTACATGTTGAGATTTATCCACTTGCAACAACTCAGTTCAGAAACAGCAACGGGCAAGTCGGTGACTTGCTGCAAGCTGATCCACAGACACTGCCGAAAGGAAGTCTGGCAAGGATAAATCGCTCAACTGTACTCGAGATTCAGTAAGTCACAACACCTGTGAGGATCTGGCTATGTCGTCTTGCTCTTGTTAACTGGTTTGCCGCCATTCATTATTGCAGATGCACTTGTGCTTTTACTTGGAGTTACCCCAGCCTTTGGCACTGTTTCTCCAATATCATGCAAAGATGGTTCTCGATACATGGCAACTGAGGGGAGAGAAGAGAAAAGGAGAACCATTTTTAAGAACGTATCACATGTAAGAGTTCATCTCAAATAATTATCTATAATAACTGATATTGTAAGATGTTCCTCTTGCATACCAGGGAAACTATTTTGACAGACACTTGACATCACTGATAGATTTTCTTGACCCTCCAAAATTTTCACTTCTTCATCTCACTTAAAAACACAGTAGGAAACTACATGCTTGTTTGTTTGAAGGACACTATAGATTTTTGGAAATTAAAAGCTACTCTTCTATCTTTGCATAAAGTGAACACACAAAAATGTAAATGTATATACAGATATGTATATATATAGACCCCTTAAATAAACATGCAAGCTTTTAGAAGTAAAACGTGATGAGACAGATTGTATTTAAAAAGTGGGATCATACAATACAGTTGTCTAGACTTGTGTTCTTTTTTAGTCATATTTGCAAGACTAGGCCAGGATCCAGTTCTACAAAGTTATGTGTACATCAGTCTCTCAAATCTAAGGACTTGGCTATGATCTCTTCAGCTGTATCCTGAAGAAATATCCAGGAGATGTAGAGAGTACACAGGAGGTTTGGGGTTTTTTCTTCCTCCTTTGCAATAACATAAGCAGTAACCGCTGATCTCCACTGAATGTAGAAGTGCAGAAAACTCCAGATTGAACTATTAACTGAATTCTTAGAGGAATTAAAAGTTTGCCCCGGGGCTTCAGTTCCTATCTATCCACTTCAAATCCTTTGAGAAAAATACATGTATTCAATCACATAGTTCCAGCATTAAGCTGCCTTAATGATTAATGTTCTTGGATAATTCAATTTCATTTTCCATGTCACTGAATCAGGTAATATTTCCACTTATACCTAACTTCAGTAGCATTTATTTATATCAGAGCAATGTTAAAAGAGATGTCAAAGCAGTCAAAGGAATTAATCATCACACTATGACTTTGGGACTGGCTGTGTGTTGCCATAGAGAGCACAATTCCTTCATCTCTTGGCTAATTAGAATAGGAGGCTGGAGCATCAAAGTACTGATCTTGATCTTCAGTGGTGTGAAGTTTCATAATAAATATGAAGGGTCCATAGCATCATTAACTAATCAAATACTTGTTCTAACATTTCCAGTGACATAATCTACATCCTTTTATGGCTTCTAGAAGACTGAAATGTCTTCTTTAGAGTATATAAGGCTGGTTATGATCTATGTCTTCAGAGTGCCCCATAACTGTGTTTAGGGCACTTAGCTGATTAATTAGAAGATCTTGATGAAATAACACTGTGACCTACACAACTATTAAGTTGAACAACATGAGATGGAACTATAAAGTAAGGAATTATATAGAAGAGCTATCATATTTGATAATTCTTATAGGTAATGAAACAGGATCCAGGCCTAAGAGTTAACTGAGATATCTTGACCTGCTAAGAAACTACCAACATCTAAATGATCTGTGGTAGTTCTGTTCTGCCTACTGGACTAAAGCTTAAAAGAATGGTAGAAGAAGCATACAATAGGCCTAGTGGTAATGAATTAGGATGCAGTAAGATAAAGTAGACATTTGAATAGGAGAAACAGGCCTGGAGCCAAGGCTTTCTCCAAGCTCCAGTGAGTGGGTCGAGAACAATGGAAAAGTAGGAAGGTCAAGATGAGGAAGATTAGATGAGACCCCAGACTCACAAGAGGAAGAGCGGATCTCCCACCAAGATTGAGGGCCAAGAGAAGCACCACTCCAAGCCCTGCCTGAGCTCCATCTATACTCTGCCTGTTATTAATATGTATAGATAGCTGTTGTAATCACATGAATATGCATTTAATCATATGTGAAAATTGTATAAAAACTACTGATTTTGTGTGAAACCTTTGAGCAAGTTCTTTGTGGTGCGAACCACACTTGCTCCCAGTGCTGTCAATAAATACCTTTGCTGCTCAAAGATCCAAAAGTCTCTGAGCAGTTCTTTACAGCAATATAAATCAAGTTATTACTATGCATTGTCTAAGCTATTTTCATAGTCTGATAATCCAAATATTATTGAAAAAGACTAACTTCTTTCCTAATCCATTTCAGTTTGCATCTCTTTTAAAAACTCAATGGCTTTCCCTCTTAGCAATTTGTATTATTTTATATATAGGAATCAAGATATAAAGTATTAATATTGTTGACAGCTCATGGAACTACTGGAAGCTTCTACAAGACAAGAAAAGCAAGAAAGCATCAACCTGAGTTCAAAAATGAAGTCAAAACTTAGATTATTCTGATTTTTTCTTTATGATGAAACTAAAATATTTAACAAACTGATTGTCTAATCAAAAACTTACTCAGACATGTTTTCAGATGTTAAGTGATGAGAAAACTTTCAGAATGACTGAAGCTATGTGTAGCAATAAGAACAGTAAAATTTGGAGTGCCATCAGGACAAGAAATGAAAGACAGCATAGGTTTATAGAGGCTTGCAGAATGCATAGCATAAGACAAAAATTCCAAGATATAAATGGATGCATTTTTCAGAGAATGTGTGACATCATTTTAGTGTATAAGGTTACTGTGACTGTTATTTGCTTCTATCTTGGTTTAAAGGCCAACTTACAAAAGTTATGTACGTTACACCAATTGGCAAAGTAACACAGCATGATTTATTTCATGAAGAGACCTTTGTGTTTTGTATTAGAAAGCTTTTACTTTGAAATGCTGACATTTCATCCATTCCCTATATGTCTTGATTATCCTACAATATCCGTTATTTCATTCTGCCTAATAAAAGGACTATTTTCTCAATGCAAGACTCACAACAGCTTTTGTCCCTACCAACAGAATATTTTAAAAGTAGCACAATGCATTTCCACAAAAGAATTCTTTTCTTATAGAATGATCTCTTAATCCCTAGAAAAACGTTTTTACATATGCCCTTTCTATCACCACTATGCTGAAGCACAAAACTGCTTCATGAATCTTTAGGACTGTCATTAGTAATGGCCCCTGTGCAAGGCACACACATTTGGAAAAGGTATTTTAGAAACCGTTCCCTTTTCTTGTGAGATTTATAGGCGGGTCTACCAGCAATGGACTGAGCCTCACCTTCCAATGGCTTGGGTAGAAAATGAGCTGCTGGTTTTGTTTTCTTCACTCTGTTTCCTTTCATGACCTGCCCTTCTTTGTTCAGCCCCAAGAACCAGGCCCTCCCGGACTCCTGTTGTCTGTAGAGCATGGATGAGTAGATTACATAATAATTTTCAAAAACGGACTCCTTGAATTTGCACTCTGGTGTAAAAAGTTCCTGTGGGAGGAAAAGTAAATGTTAAATGGTATCTCTAAAGTGCGGCTTCTGTTTAGTTAATTTACAAATACCTCTTGATAAGTTTAATATATGACTTATAATAAGGTTCTGCTTTGAGAACAGGAGTTCTGTCTTCCTCTGGAAGAGCTCCAGGTGAACTTCCCATGGATGCCTCAGTTTTCCCATCTGTGCAAGAGGGATAGTACATTTTCAAAGTAGAAAGGAAGCTATACAGACATAAAAAAAATTTCAAAATACATGAATAATTATTATTGTGCTTATTTTTTCAGATAGGATATTCTTATAAAGATTTAGAAAGTCTATGCTGAAATAGCATTAATGAGATGACAGTTGTTCTAACATAGTGAATGCAGCAAACTTCCTCTGGTTTACAACTAATATTTGAAGCTCAAAATGCTGCTACTAATGTATTAAGATATATATCATGCCCTGGAATCCACATGGCCCGAAACACCACAGGAAAATACTATTTTGGTGTACAAATTCCTGAACAAAGAAAAATAATTCCTACCGACTTTCTCAGCATTCATTCCAAAAGTGGAATATTTTTCAGAAGTCACATTCAGAAACAGCAGTTGTCCAAAAACTCTCTCTATAGGTTTATCTAAATAGAAACTTCTGCAGACCAGTAGCAAAATAAGAATTTAAACATAGATATATATTTTAATACCATATGTAACTGACACGATAAAGAGTGTGAACATACATTGAGATAGAGATTACCAAAATTCTTTGAAAAATCCAGCAAGTTAATAAGCAAATAAAAATACATTTAAAATATCACAAGAAAATAAGATTCTGTGTGATGTGATTTTCTGTCTGTGGACCCATCTGCTGAAGCCTGTAGAAGAAATAAGACATAAAAGGAAGAGGTAGATGTGGAAAAGAGGGAAAAGCTTAACTTACCTTGCTAAGCTTTCAGAGAGCAAAGTTCTCAACCCTGAATACTCTTTTTATATTCCTTTTGGTTATCTTTCTCAAGCAGTAAAAAAATCTGAAAACGTCATATCTTTTCACTTCTCCATTCACAGTATTTTTTATTCATTTCTTTTTTTCCTGGCCCCATGCAGTACTGAGTTAACACCCAGCAGGCAACACGTTTTCGGGGTCTCTATGCCATCCCCAGCTGCCTATATATTGTAAGAATTTCACAGCTCTTTCTGTCACAGATTTACTTTCTGGAAATCAAAGTCCTTAAAGACATAGTTCCCCATACCAAAAAGCACAGATGAAAGACTTTTCTGAATCTGCAATAAATGTCACTTAGTGCACAACCAAGTTCTTCTATATGATGGGGTACATAGTGTTCATATTACCATGGCTTAAGTTACCGCCAGTAAGCAAAGCTGTTTTGATGAACACCAGGCATACTATTAGCATTTTCAATTACGGACCATCTTTGAACCTCAGATAAAAAGAATTAATGTATTTTATGCAGCAACAGACTAAAAGCAGTTGCTGCAGCATCTGGGAAATGACTTGTGAGCCTGCTTTAAAATAGGTTGCTTTGGCTGTGTGAGCCAGTACACTTAGTGTCTATAGGTCACACTCATTCACAGGATGCAAAAAAAGTTCTCTGATATGTGCAATGGGCATCTTTATGTACTACAACTTTTTTACCCCCTGTGTACACAACTGCATATATATATATATATACACACACACACGCATACACACACACACGTGCATAAATGCAAATACAGTCTGTAATAGAAGCACTGAATACTAATGACAGGAAACACCTTAACTACACCTTCTCCTTTGCCATGGGGCTTTTTCTCTCTCTGTTCCAAGACTTTAAGACACCTGTTGTTTGTGTTACTCTCCTTTCTCCTCCACTGATTTCAAATCACAGTAGGGCTCAAGGTGACTGCAAATGAAACCAGAAGGCAGTGACATGCTAGAGGGAATGCCTGTTAAAACCTAGCACAAGCGTTTACATGCGAGTCATGTTCCTCAGCTGTTGAAACAGCAGATGCTAATCAGGAAATGCCTACACAGCTCTCCTCATTACCTACTTCACTGAAAATGCTACCCCCTGTGTTCCCCATGAAGTTTTACTTCCTTGCAAAGCTCAATTACCATAAACACTACTCCTTAGCCAATACTCACTTTTTTTTTGCTATAAACAAAAGCTGTTTGTCATTCTATATTCCTCTGTACTAGAGATGGTTGGCTGCCTCTAAATGCTATTTGTGTCTTTTCCCCTAACAATATCCATTACCATACTTAAACAAGACTCCTTCAAATCATATCCCTTCTCTGAATCAAACCTGACTCTTTCCTCTTTCACTTCTTTGGCATGGGCCATATGTTTCTGACAGTGCACAGCATATGAAATGGTAGGTATTTAGCAGGTGAAAAAAAATGGATTATTTCTACGCTATTACTTGTCTACTCCTGGACAAACTAGCATCATTACTATTATGTAGTTATGAAAAGCACAGGAATAGTCTGATAAATTTTTTCCCCTTTAAGGACCAGTCAAACCTGAATACTGTACTCTGCCTAAAAATAATGCAGCTCTCCAACTCCATACATCTGGGTAGTGTAACAGCTTTGGACAGGGTTTACTTTTAGCCAGTATATTAGGATGCAATTCTGCTGGGTTAAACTCTCAGTCAAAAAGTCCCTTAAATATATGTTACTTTAAAGTAGAATAATAATTCTACTGATGTGGTGAGTATTCATGAATGAAAATTAGGCACCTGACAATTACTATACAGAACTGCAGCCATCAGCTCCTCTGAGGAAAGAGTTAGTCAAAAGGAGACTTTTGAAAGGTCCACCTTCACTGGGACTCAGGTGGAAATTGAATATTTCTAAGTTAAGAGTGATGCCTAAAGTCTTGCCTTAGACACCATCTCAGCTGACTGAAAAGCTATAAGGGTCTATATTTTCTTCAGTAAAGTACCTGTAACACCTAAGATATTGTTTGTGCAAACATCTAAGATATATTTGTGCATGTTTGCATGTACGTAGCCAAATCTAGATCTGTATCTCTAAGACTCAACCCAGTAAGAACTATCAGAAAATTATCAGTGTGTTAACCAGCACCAACTTAAAGAAAATCATCCACAGGTGACTTGACTCAAATCCAATGCTGGAGGGAAAGGCAGTATAATGGTACTTTTTTAAGGGAAACTCAATAGTGAAGGTACTCCCCTAGGCTATCTCCCTATCTGTATCCAACCTGAAGGAATCCAATATGCATCTGGCTGACATGGATAATTTAGATCTTCCCTACAAGAATGACTTTTCGGCGTTTGATCCCAGGACATTTCGTATTAGGAAGTGACATCACTTGCAAACAACAACTTGTGCTCAGGATTTCTCTTCCAATGTCAATGCCCAGATTTAACTTGTAGTTTTATATAAAAAGTGGTTTTATCCTGCCACAGCAACATTTGAAAAATAAAAAGTATACCAGCTGCCAATTTCCAAAACCTCAGGAATAGGTTTTGGCTGTGAACTGCAATCTGATACAGCTTCCTGGGTCCTGGGGAAAGGAAGGACGCATGAAACTGCATCATGCTGAGGAAAGATTTTCACTTGGATATTTTTGCTAGATTCTCATCGAGTTTTTGCTTGATGTGAGTCCTATGTGGAGATATTTTAAATATTCTGGTTGCAGTAGCATTAATACATATCACAACACACAGATTGTGGATTCAAACTTGTGGAATCAAAAGTTCTGTTATTGTGGAGTTTTTAGTTTTGGGGCCCCCAGCAGTGTCACCAAATCTCAGCATTGTATTACTCCATAATGATGGAGGCTTTGCTCATGGAATCATGTGGTAGAGTCAGAATCTACTTTCATTTAAGAACAAAACACAAAAGAAATAAAATAACCCCTCCCCACATTATCCATTGCTCGCATCTGGGAGTGCCTGAACAACAGAGCTCAGGTTACTCGTGGTGTCAACATGGAGACATAAGGAACACTGGAAAGTAATTCAGATAACAATTGAGATGAATTCCCTACCAAGTAATGTCTTTATGTCAATCAAAGGTTGAAGTCTGACATGATGAAGCTAGACCTCAATGCCAATCAATAATATGGCACAGTAGCAAATGGCTAAATCAAAGCACAGGGGGTAGCATTGTATTTCTCAGGGCAGAAGGGGAGAATACCGCAGTGTGAAATGAGGTGTGAAGTGATGAGATCCCAGAAAACAGCTGCAGTGTAGTGGAAAGGCAAAAGGCCTTCTCATAAACATATTTGTGCAGCAAAATCTGTAAGATCTTGAGGCTTCTCCTGCACATGAGAACTGGAATACATCTAAATTGATATTTCTCTGACTTGCTGCACATTGAATTAGGTGAATTAGACTACCTTCTCACATTATAACTATTTGACAAATGCCAGTGTAAGAAAAAAAATTACTAAAGATTTCCCAAACATAGTATCAAATTTTTCCAACATTTAAGCTGGGCAAAAATCTGCAGTTCAAAATGATCTTGTGCATTAGTTCCTCTTCAGATGGCAGAAAACACAGCAACACATGGCTATGTACCTTATGGATTAAGGAGAAATTTATATTATATTTCCTGTACATTCAGAAGACATTTAGTGGATCTGGGCCTAAAAGCCCCCTAAAAAAACCCATAATTTTTAAACATAAAAACAAGAACAAGTAAAGTTGGCAGAATTTTCTATGTGCAAATTGGCCACATAAGATACCAAGGAATACGGGACTTTAGCTATCACTACAGACTTTGAGGTCACTTTACTAACAAATCTTCAAAATATACAGCAGTACTAGCTGAACTTGGCAATCCTACAGGTGCCCCATGAAAGCAGCAAATACTCAGAACCACTTTCACACACTTTATGCCATCTTCTGATGGAAAATTTCCTTAGCAGATTACAACAGTCAGAGAAGACCATTATTGTCTCTTCTAAGCTGGTGTTATTTCTGTCCTCTGGAAGATTACTAAACATGTGGACTTAAAAAGAAAATTAAAAAAATAGGACT